ACACATCTAGATACACCGAATAAAATAAAACCTTTGTTTTCTTACCTTAATTTTCCTGTAAGGCTATTATGGGTTGTTACTGTGGTGCCCCAATGTGCTGAGATAATTGCACTGGATCATTTATAGTCTAGTCTTTGTGGATATATCCTTCTAGTTAGAGAAAACAACAGCTTAATGTAAACTGCTTCACCCTTTCACTCATGTCTCAGGCCCCTGGCCTAGGAGTAAAAGGGCAACAACTTCTTTAAACTTTGTTGTGCATTATCTTTAGTTATCAAAATTCAAATAAGTTAAGTAAAAAAAAAAAAATACTGATTTCCAGGTAATTGATCTAATGTTAAAAGTAATGCTTAGCAGAAAGATTTACAGTAAACATCGCTAATTTGCAGCTAGCTGAGAGAGATCACAGAGAGAAATTTACAAGTACCCTGTAGTTTCTATTTGCACCTTTTCTCCCCCCCTCCCCCCCAAATGCAAGCTTTATAATATTTTTAAGACAGGAAAATTGAGATGATAGCATTATTAATACCTTATTAGTATCTATTTTCTGAAAGTCCCTCAGAAACACATGAACAATAACCCAGAAATGGTTGGAACAACAGAAAGCATTCGTACCAGGGTGTAATCCGAATCATCTCTGTTCAGAAGCCCATTAAGCATCTCTCTCCAAACCCAATTTATTTTGTCCAATAGTTCAGTCAGTAGTAAGCATTGAGATAAAGTGCTACTATTCAAACTTCAAAACACTTAGAAAAAAACCAAAAAACATTTAAAATGTGTAAGCTTGCTAAATACGAAATGCAACCAACAAACTGTCAGCCAGTCTGTGAAACCACAGTTCATGCTATAGCGGACTAGAACGATAGATGTTTTAGTGGCTTTTCTTTTCTTTTTTTAACTGAGGCTTCTCATTCAAAGAAATCAAAAAGTTCAAATATTTTTAACTGAAAATCTCAGCATTTTTTTAAAAAAGTGACTTGTCTCAAATTTTGACCACTGAGCTCTCCATCAGCAAAACACAACACAGCCAATAGCCAGAGCTACAGCTTATGCACCAGTTAACAACCTGTAGCTGGAGAAGCCCTATAAACTGAAAAGATGCACACTTGTGGTAGCAAACAGCACAGAGATAAAATCCAGTGATAACAAACTGGCCTCCTTTGCAGACTGCTAAACAAAAACAAAGAAAAAAAATCAGTTTCAATTCAGAACTGCAGTGGGATAGCAGAGACTGGACAGAACAGTTACACTCAAACAACCAACCATTTTCCCCTTTTAACAGCTTCCCAATCACCACTAATTATAATCCCTGCAATTTCATGCAAGATCCAGGTCTAATCAATGAATATGTCTTTACCAGATTTTGATATGGGATCCTAGCACTAAAAGTAGCAATGGAAAAGAGTTTTTCCAGTCTTAAGACAAAAGGTGGATGCCTAAATCAAGCAATTACACCCAGCCAACCAGGACTTGAGATGTGAGCTACAAAAAGACTACGAGGGACATTAGAGGGCACCATTCCTGTACTTTGTGAAAGTCCAAAGATGCAGAATTTTAATTTGGACCATAACCCAATCCCTACCTTTATCCTCAAGGCTGAGGGTCTTGAAGATTGCCTGCATAGTGGCTCTACAGTCAAAACTACAGCATGCATATTGGACAACGTGCTTCCACTTGGAAACTGGTGGATCTGTAGAGTTTTTCATGCTAATTCCCTGAGCCATCGGACATCGCCCACACACCTGCACACACACTGCAGAAGCATAAAAATATCACATAATTCAGCTCCACAGCACACCTGGAGCTCCAGCATCTCTATGCCAGACCTTCCCTACTTCCTGTCTCCCTGGGCAGTGCAACTGCAGCAAGTCTGCTGCATTTTGGCCCTTCCACGGGTACCATGAAGCTCTTTTGAAAGGTCTCCATGGAAAGCTGCCAGCTACACGGGTTCCATACCAAGCTCCTCATGTACCTTAATCTCTCAACTGCTTTCTCACCCCTTCTCTAATAGATGGTGTGACAGACTGTAATCAGATATTCTACAAGAAATGTTATTGCTTTATCTATATGGGACGCAAGCTTTCAAGATTTAACAGAGAAATGTGGAAGAAGCGTCAGATTACATTATATATAGTGAGAAAAAAATAATCAGTCTTTCTCTTTTCATAAGTGGGAGAAAATATATAAAAATAAAATGCATGAAAGCAGTATTTTACTACTTAAAACTTGCAAGTTATTTAAAATACCAAATGCTTCCAAATTCAGGATAAAGTAATTCTTCAGCTCAGTTATCTGGTATAGCTGAAGCAGTATTTCTCAAAGTGGATTGGCTGACAATCTGTAGGTGGTTTATTAAACAATACCTGCATCTTATTTCATATTTAGCAAAAATAAAAAATGCCCCCAAAACACTCAAAGCTCCCGTTAGAGCGCCATGCCTTTCTACTAAAAAACGCCTTCAAATCCACTTTAAACAAGAGATGGTAGTGGTAGTTTTCAATCTGAACCTGAAAGGAAAACAAAAGTCTTAACATTATACATTGGCACAAAATTGTCATAATATTGCTCTTATTTACAATGAAAACTTCTTTTTCTTTTTTTAAACTGGATTTGTATCATGGAAGCATTACAAACATCCTCTTCCCCCCACCCACCCAACATTTTTGCTCATCAAATGGTATGAAAATAATTATTCATAAAATCCAACAGTCGTAACACCAATCATGTATAGGTCTATAAGTCATTATGTCTGAAAGATACATTCATGTTTTGTACAGCATGAAACATACAAAAACTTCCATTAAAAACTCTTAAGGATGATACAGATCTTCATAACCCAAAGTAAAATATTAAGCAGTTCTGCTTTTTTTGGCCATATAAAAATATTTTAAAGGCCATTTATACCACAACAGGTAGAAACATTTGAATTAATGATTTGTGGGTGTAGAAAGGCTTCAATGCTATTCTCTTTCCCAATGAATTTTTGGTTACCACTATCCTGGCTTTGGAGAAGCCAAAAAGCCACCAAGTCACTGATGCCAATTATCTAAGAATAGTTACTTTGTTCCAATTTTTTTCCCAGTGCAACTAGTTAACACACTAGGAATCAGCTTAAGCCAGTGCCGAGGAAGATTTTGAAGAGACCTATTATTCTTGCCTGTGTTCATAATCAAAACAGTCATGACAGACGACCAATAAATATCCCACACTTAATTGTGGTATAAATGGGTCTTTTGAACTCAAACTGCTTTGGCAACTTTACATCAGAATATTTAAATATGTGACATACCAACACTATATAATGTTGCTATAAACTCCATTTCTGATTTCCCTCAGAGAAAAAGGGCAAATGCTATTTTCCTTTACAACTTGACTATGAAGAAAATCTATTTCAATATGATGGATGAATTATTTTAATTTTTAGATATTAAGTGCTGAGTTTAAAACAACCTTCCAACTAGCCAGCATCTCAGCCAATAATCTCGGCACATGGAAGTTAAAGCTTATACTTTCCTATAGAAGAATTTTCTTTTGTTGCAAATGGCTTAAAATAAAACTGAGATTAAAGCTACCTTTTACTCTTTTTCAGTTTATCGGATTCAGAGATTCTTGTAAGATTCATTTTTCACTGAGGGATAATATTGATTTAAGCATCAAATCTAGAAATATAAGTAACAGGGCCATAGGCCACCTAATATTACTTTGCTTTCTAAAAATATTTAAAACTATCTTCCATTTGGCATTGTGGTTCACGTTTATTACTAAGTCATAAGCCAGGATTCCACTTTGCCTGAATCCCTTTTCACTTCATAGTTCATAGCTGATATCTTTCAAATGTCCATAGAACACAGTATATTATATAATATAATTCTTCAATAGTTAAAAATCATTTAGCGTAGAACTTTCCATTTTAATTCTATGCTCTATATAGCTTACAACAAAATTTACTGGATAAACATTTTCAGGAAACCAATACAATAAATTAAAACTTTTAAATAGAGGGCACAAAGTTATGTTGTCACAGGGCAGTCAAAGAAGTGACTGATTTTTTTTCTTACAGTATATTACACTGGATACCTTGCTTCTGACTTGGTTTCTCCTATACTGGAAAAATATTAAAAAACTGGGACATTTATGTGTCTTTAGAATGAGCTCAGATACTGTATCAGACAGACATTTCTTACAAATCTTCTACCTACTTAAATAAGAAGCAACCTATACCAACTGGAACAATTTTGCACAAGCATAACAGAAGGTGACCAGGGTCATTATGGAATTAAAATAAAGTTCTGGGACAACTTCATAGTGTTCTCCACCCTTCTCCCCCACCCAAACAATTAAGAAAAATAAAAGGCAGACCTGTACGAACATGGCTTGAAATCAACTGTGACAACTTAAAAAGTAATTGGTTAGCAGATCATGGAATTAAGTCACATCTGATTTTAAGTTCAACTTAATTATCAGTGCTATTAAAGAGTTACGTTCTAATAGAGTAAGACAGCTATTCTCAATAAAAGGATAAAACAAAGTATTGGGTTCTAATGGCCTACCAGCATTTCATAGTAAGCTGCTAGTAAGTTTCTAGTTGGAAGGAATGAAGGAATGTGTCAGGTTTTTCACCTAATTACAACACAGCAGCATACAATGCTCATTCATGAAGTTGGCAGAGGTGCTTTGGCTACCGAAAGTAGCACGCAGGTACTTGTCTAAGGAAAGAGGGAATGGTATTTCCATGACCCCTTGCGGTAACACATTCCAAGCACCAAGGGCCGTTTTTAAAATCTGAACCCATTAAGATAAATATGACAGGACAATACCACCCCCACAGAATCATGAGTGCCTTTCACTGGATGTATGCTGTAAGTCTCAAGGCACTTAAGGGGTTAAGACAGAATGCATGCACTAGTTCCCATCACGTAATCTTAAGTCACACGAATCAGAATACACCAGTGTATGACACACAAAGCTGTGTCAAAGAAATGCTGTTTATTTTTATTTTTTTTTAATTTTTATTGTTATTATTTTGTACAAGATGCTGGTAAGTGGGCATTATGCAGCTACTGCTGGGTTAACACAGATGCCAGCTTTCCTCTAACATCCAGCTGGTCTCTAGTAAGGGTGTAGGACAAAGTGTGCTGCATCAGTAGGCAGTGTGTATCTATCTAGTATCAGCAATATTGCTAATGTTGTAAAAAACAAAACAGTGAGAGTCTGTACATAGTAAATAAACCTAGCACTGGAAAAAGACCATGGCTTAGTGTATTTTTTTAATTTCTTTTTCATTTTAAGAGACATGGGTGTAAAACAGAGTGAAATAATTCCAAGCCTTGTTTGTAGCAATTCAACCAGAAGCGCAGTATGTGGCACTACAACGAAATATCGTAGATTACCCTGAACACAATTAGTTCTTTCAGTTTATGGTTCGTTCGGAGCAAAGCACGAAAATAAAGTCTTCAAATAGATGAAGGTTAGAAGAGTTTCAGAGACTGATTTTGTTTCAACGTAAAGTGCAACAGTGCTGAAGTTTTCAAAGTCCTTTGTCAATTCTTTGCTGTACTTCACTATCGTTTCCTGCAAGCAGTATTATGGCACAAAGGAGGCTGCCAGTTCATTATAGAAGACAGAATTACTCAACTGATATCCTAGGTTTTTTTGCTCTTTACTTATGCAGTGATGCTTGTAAAGGTTTAATAAATCCTTCTTCATACACCTTCAAAATAGCTTCACATACAAATCTGTATTGACTCTGAAAAGGAAAGTAGATCCAGTAAATTGAAAAGAAACATAATTGAACCATGTCATTTGGAAGCAGAAAAAGCCTCTAAGATGTCCCCATCCCATTCTTTTGACAGGCCAAGAATTGTGCTTCGAAGCAAGTTTCGGAAACACAAAACAAGAACTTCATTAGTAGAACATTTTGTTTCTCAACAGAAGAATGGGATGAACGTCACTTTGAAATATATACCCAAAGTCATACCCACGAAACCAGTACTATTATTGCGACACCACGTATTTAGTAATTTTCTGTTCATTTCATTGCTGAAGTTTCACTGACCAGAGGTTTCCATGCACTTGGATTTAGAAGCTATAGTTTCAAAGCACTTTTTCATACTTACATTAATTCTGGCATGTTACTGGCACCTCCATCTCAGAATTTGACAAAAAAGAAAATTGTTTCATGTTTTAAAAAGCCAGAACTTCAGTTTCTTAGCATTATATAATGCCTAACTCTGCAGTGTATTCAAGTCTAGCACCTGCATACAGAGAGGCCACTAATATTTTGTTTTAAACAAATAATAGTTAAAAAACCCAACGGTAATCAAATTAGAATATAATGAAAATAAAATGAAATAAAATCACTGTTTTGTAAAGCATCACAACTAACACTGTCCACTGCATAATGTTGTATATGTTGGTCAGCAAGTCAGCACGTCTGCCTTTTCAGTGTCATGGAATATCCCTCTCTACACAGCAATTAGCGATGTCAGATCTTGAACGGGCACAGCAACAGATTCAGTGTCCTGGTTTTGACAGGGACAGAGTTGGCGTTTCTTTTTAGCAGCTAAAAGAGCTCTGTGGTTTGGCTTTAGTCTGGGATTTGTTATGAGAAGAATGTTGATAGTGCACTGATGTTCACAGTACTGAGACATGAAGGACTTTCCAGTTTCCCATGTTTTTGCCAGTGTGCAGGAGCATGACAGGCTGGGTGGAGCATGGCCGGGACAAAGGGTCCACAACTCCCCTTATGATTTGAACTTAGATTTAGGATCGAGGGCTAAATTGGCCAATGGAGTGTTCCATATCATGCAACATCATGCCCAGTGTATAGATGAGGGCTGACTGGAAAGTTGGGAATGCTCTTCTGAGGGCACTCTCAGACTCTTGTTCTCTTTTTCTCTTGCTTTCTCTCTCATTCTCTTTTTGGGCTTCTCGCTCATCCAGGATTGTGGTGTCAGGACTTACATGTTTTGGCATTGCTTGCCAGGACAGAACAGCAATTATAATGTGCATGATTTGTTTGTATATATTATGTATCGTTATATTTACATTCATATATTATTATCATTGTTACTTTTACATTCTTCTTCTTCTTATTATTATTATTATTTTCTTATCTCAGCCTATGAGTCTCCTTCCCTTTTCCCTTTTAATTCTCTCCCCCATTCCCCGGGAGTGGGAGAGGGTGAATGAGTGGCTGTATGGCATTTAGGTGCCAGCTAGGCACTATGTTTAGTAATATAATAAAGATTTACTGTATTGTTGCATGAATACTAAAATAGTTAATTTTACAGATATTTGTGTAAAATACTTATTTTGCCCCCAGTGCTACCTGAAGGAGCCTTGGAACTCTCCTCATACAGTACACACAGCAGACACTATGCATAGGGCCATCGTGTGGACATTAAGTGAATCTTTCAGGATATACAAAATCGGGAAGAGAGTGTCAAAGGAGAAATTCTAATAGCTAATGTTTATGAAATCTTTTAAAGAAAACATGTCAAGTCTTTTATTATCCCTTCTCTCTCTCATGCAGTAAACACCTGCATTTCACTGAAGCTTGAAAATTCTGTTTTCTCAAGAAAAGTGAGAAGACCAGAAGATTTTGCACATGCCATGAAAAAATATAGTTAAAACCCTTACCACTGAACCTCCTACCTTTACTAATAAAACTCTCTTCCTCTTACGTATGCTAGAGAGATTTGCTATTCATGCTGTATAGTATCACAAAGAGCAAGAGCCATCCTTCATTATTTTTTGTGTATCATCTTCTTCCTCATCCTTCCTGTGCTAGCTGAATAACACAATTCTTTAGTGGAACATGAATACTGGACAGCAGCACTGAATGACAGATGACCTAGAAATGGAGGCCCATATATACTTTTTGTCAGTCTGAATACTCCGAAGAACACAAAAGGGTTATTCAAATTTTATTAGAAGAACAGCAATAGGCACATTGAAATTACTACAATGAGTAACTACTTTTAGGTAATTGTGGGAGAGATTTGATACTGGATCTAGAGCCTCTTCTCCTTCAAAACACTTTCTCTTTAAACGCTATATACTACAAGTAAAACTATACAACTGATTACTGATTCAAAAAAAAACCAAACGTGGAACTGGTCAAAGCTTAAAATAACCAAGAGTCCAAGCCACCTTTTTTTTAAAAGACAACACAACTCAATCTTTTGACCCTTTTTAGGTATTTTCTAAACCATAAACACAAACTGCTCTCAGAGGTATGCAACACCTGACTGATACAAATAAAAAGTTTCTAAATCTGTTCTAAAACTTTTACAATTCTGAAATATAATACATTAAGGTAACATCTCAATTATCTCAAAAAAACCCCAAACATTACAGATCCAGGAAAAATTCTAGCATCTTAAGGTACATCAAATGTGAACAGAGCACCAAAAGAATCCTGGTAGCTAGCTACTTTTTTTAGACTAAATACACTTAAAATTATTTTGATATATCTCACATCAGATTTAATCATGCTGATTTAAAAATATTATTTCTCTGATCATTTCCCTTTAATTGAGCAGATTAAGGCTTGTTTTCATTATAACTAAGGCAACATAAAATCACTAAATTGTATCACTGAAGGTTTTTCTCGCATGTCTTGGATCTTTCTGTGTTTACCTTTTATACTACTCCCATACTTAACATCTGGGATTAGGCTCCTGCTTTCTGCACTGACTAATTTTTATACTACTGAAAACTGGCCCTTTTTGACATTAATTGCCAGGCATCCCTGAAACAGCTGCTGCTTTTTTCAAGTACTCTTTGTAGAAATTTAAAGAATTGCTCCAATAGACTTAGCAATTTATTCCTGCCTAGAGCCAAGACTACAACTACACTGGGTAAAGGTGACCCAAAGGTGCAATATGATCAACAGCAAGTATATTAAAAATCTGTCCAATGATATGACTAGGCAATAGGAAATTATTCTCCTGCCACATAGAATAGCAAGTGTGATACTCACAGGTGTTTGGATCATCATGGCTCTTTGATCTCTCATGGTTCTTACAATATCTAATGGATAAACAGGCTGATTGCACTCAATGAGACACATAGCTGTCTCCATAGTGATAAGAACTCCTGTCCGTCCAATCCCAGCACTGAAAAAAACCAACAAAACAAAACAACAAAAGATCCAAAATGGAAAATGAAACAAAGCGTCTGGAATACAGTTCATTCTTAAAGAGATTCCTTTTCAAGGATTCTCATGACTGATCGTTATGATTCCCACACTATTAGGGCAGAGGTTGGATAGATTGTGCCTGTCTCACTGGAAGCCTCCATCCTGCCTGAACAGAGCAACAAACAATCAGTGCAGAATTGCCAGTCCTTTGAAGAGGGATGGTCTTAATTCAGTCATTCGAGCAGAATTTACAAACAGATATATATTCAGATGATATTATAAACCATACTAATATCTAGATGGTAACAAAAACCAGCGATACCTAGCATACGCTGTGCACTTTGGGTTAATCTGACTGTTACTGGCGGAATGTTGGACTGATTTCATAATACCATGTTTATGTTCTTGAAGTGATCCATATCTTTATATTTCAGAACAAGGAATAGAAAAATTACTATAAACCTTTGGAGGGTGACAACAATGATTATTTCCTTAGTATTAAAAAGCACAAGAGAAATCTGACTTGTGTAGATTGGAAAGGAACACATAATAGTAATCCCTTTCAAGACAAGGAAAAACCATAACACAAACATCTCAGAACAGCAAAATTGTTAAGACAGATTATGTTTTCTTTAGCTTAAAAATAGAACAAATCTAAAACTTCATCTGCATTGTTTTACATATACGTACATTTTTCTACAAGTAGCAATCCTCAAAGACTGAATATTTAACCTTGAACTTGATCATCAGTTTCAAATTCAAATTTTTCATATTCAAGAAAATGATGATGGACTTTTTAAATAGAAAACCAATGTTTCTCCATATGTGAATACAGGACCAAATCCATATTTTCAAATGCCAGCATTATCTCAACTCATATAACTAGTATTTCAGTCAATAAATGAAAAGTGTTTGCTTATAAATTAGTCAATATAAACATTCTGGACTTTGAAACTTAATTGTCCTAATTTTGAAGTATAACTTCAAATTAAGTCTGGCCAAGCTACTGCTTTAAATCTTTGCCCAGAAGGTGGCATTAAAGCTACTATATATTTCAGTGACGTCATGAGAATTTTATGACAAGATGTGAATGTTCTAGCTATATAAAATTATTCAATAGCATTTTGTATTTCTAGGATTTATACATATAGAATTTACATGCAGAATGCTTTATCAAATCCAAACAGGAATGGTATCTGCTGAAGAACCTAATGACTCGTTTTACAACTTCAACACTTCCAGAGAACGGCAACAACAATGATGGAAAGTGTGATCATTTCCGTATGGTAAGTACCAGGTAGGCTAGGACTCTTCAGCTTGGAAAAAGAAATCATTGACTGATGGAGGGGAACACCGAGATAGGGACATGAAAGTCATGAAGGACATGGACAGGATGGGTAGCTTGCCATCTCATCTAGAACAAGAATTAAACTGTTCAACTAAACTAGTAGGAGCCTTGTGAAAATATAAACAAACACATGAACACAAGCTTGGAAACTAGTGGTTTAAGTAGTTCAACATAACAAAAACCTTTTCAATTTCTTCAGGTTTCTGTTGCTTTACAATCTCTCTGGTTTTTTGCTTTTGTTTTTAAACTACTATTGCACGAAAGGAAAGTCTGCTCTACTAGCAACCTGGATTCCCAAGCAGCACTAAAGCTGGTGGCTTCGTTCTGAAAACAAGTTTCACCACTTTGTTCCACTAGTGCCTTGTCCTATTATACTGAACAGATGTTAAAAATAGTATGCATGCTCCATATGGAGAAACTCCTGGGCTCCTTCAGCTTGACTCACTAGTGGAATTTGGTTCTACTTCCCAACAGCCACCAAGTTAGGCCAATTAAGTAAACTACGTTGAACTGTGATATTCCCTCTCTTTTCTTCCGTGAAATGTGAAACTGTTGTAAGTGTTGGTATTGAAATTATCGGCATGAAGCTGAACTGATGGCTCACTGAGACGAATGAAACTGTTCAAACTCTCCAAAGTTGTTCAGTGTTTCTGCAGACTTGCACACTTGATATTGTAAGAAGTTTTGTTTGGCTGACATTTTGACTATTTGTTCAGCACCATATCAACCAAAAGTATATCAATAATGGAAACTGAGGAACAATATAATTTAAAACAGTGGCATTCTGGTACTGGTTTCCCTAGTTAATAAGATTCCTCCTGACCAGCATAAAGCAGAAAAGAGACCAAAACCAATTAAATACAATTTCTGATACTGAAAGCGTTAAAAAGAGAAAACATTTTTCTTTAATCTTCTTCAATAAATGTCTAGTTTACTTTTTATCTCTTCAACTTCTCAGCTTCTCTCTGAAACAGGAATGACGCACACCTGACTCAGGAACACTGTCAGGGAAGTATTCAGGAATTTAGAGGTGAAATTTTATTCACAGAACTGCTCACCAAGAATTGGTATATAGAGTATGTTCATTCGAAGACATTTGGCATTACGCATTATTATAGTTTACTAATTAGGAATTTTAAAGGGTTAAGATTTTGAAATTTACTAGAGGAATGTAGAATGCTATTAAAAACTATTGCACGAGAAAAACAATCAAAACCAAAACAAAACATTATCATGTGTAGATAAAAATCTGACTAACAGTTATTTTAATTCACGGCAAAAGTAAATTGTTGAGAAAAATGCATCTTAATGTATGTATCAAAATATCATGTAGCCTAAACCTGCAGACTTGAGAGAAAGTGTCTTTTATTTGATCATTGCATATACCACCCACGTTTTCTGCTATGGATTATTTATAAAGCTATTTTGGAGCTTTGCAGAATAGTCACTATGAGGAAAATGTTCCAAAGTATCTTTTGTCATTTCCTTGAATTATTATATAGACTGTTAGCACAGGCATTTACACTGTAAAACAAAACAAAACAAAAAACCCAAACCCCAAAAAATCCCTGCACAGATCAATTCACGTAGATACTCAAAATTTTGCTTATTGAAATGTGATTATAACTTTTAGTAATTGTTTAATTTAAACCTTGGGTTCTCCTGTCATCCCCAAAGCAGATACGATTAAATATTTATTTCAACAGCAAAGCACAGAAGAGGTATTTGATGATAAATAAATTCCGTTTGATGATTTAATAAAGTTGAAAAAAAAGGGATACCTGCAATGAACAACAACAGGTTCTTCTCTGCCAGCCCTCTTCTTTCGCACAAGACACACGAAATCTAGGAAATCGCTGGAATCATCAGGAACCCCATGATCAGGCCATGCTATATACTGGATTTGGGTCAGTTGGCGGCTTTCCTCTTTCTAATCAGAAACAAAGTTTATTCAAGGTTAATTTAGGGCCCATTAGGAAAAAAAATGCCAAAAAGAAGACATAATCAATGGTACATTTACAGCAACTTGTACCAGTAATAAAAGTGGCTTCAGGCAACTAGCAGCATTTTTGTTGGTGTTAATCATTGTTCATCCTGGATTTTACAATTACATTTTTCTTCTTAAAAACAAAAAAGGCCATCCACAAATGTTTACGTCTTCAACAGGTTAAAAAAATTACACACCATGTAACAGCAAAGCAGTTCAAGGATACCAATGATCTATCTGAACACTAGGTGTACAAGCAGGTGGTCAAATTCTTAGCAAAACAAATTTAACAGAAAGAGGTAGTATCTTACTAGATCAAGAAACTGAACTAGGGTTGGGAGGGGAGAGGCAGGACTTTCAGACATAAAAGCTTTCCTTCAGACCTGCTGCTGTGTGAACAGCAGCATTGTTTTGGCTTTATCTGCACCTCAATGTTATCCAGCGTACTACACCTAAGCAGCAGAATGGTGTTGCTTTCCACTCCTTCTTGTCCCTTGCTTTAATATCGCAAACATAATCCGCCTCTGGCTAGTGGAGGGGACAGGCTGCACAATCAGTGTAAAAGCAGCATTTCAAAGAACAGGAGTTACCATACTTTCAATAACCTTTAGGCACAGAGTCATTTACAGAGGTTCCACTGCTGATAACAAATGAGCAATTGTCTCAACAGGACACAGGGAAGTAAACTGAACTGCAAATTGACTAAAAGGCAGCTCTATACATCTGGCATCTCACCTGGTAACCCAGGCAGTGAGAAATGAGTATGTGAACTAAATTCCAGATAGTAATTTCTAAATGTTTCTGAGATTGAAATGCTAGCTGGGGAGGCTCTGAAAACTACACGTGCCCTGAAAATCATGCAATGCATGTTCAAGTGGGTCCTTCTTTACATGTAGTTGCCAATTCATCTTTCTCTCAGCAGGATTTATCTTCCATCTACTTCCACACATTCTCCAAGATGGAATTATTAAGAACTGTTTGCCTCTACAAAGACAGATTTTCAGGTGCAATAATTAAATACCTCTAGTGTCTCATGTTTTGAAAACATGAAGGGAATAACAAGCGCCTCAAATTTTTAAATTAGCTGTTTTCTTTGGCCAGGGTATGAAAGACACCAGTAAAGACTTTTATGACAAACAATACATCTTTTATATGATTTAAAACCAATTAACACAATTATGGGAACTGTATCATTGTGGTATTTTGCCACTGAAAGGTTTGTTATCATTCTAAGAGCAGAATTTACACTAGTTAAGTACATGGCAAGATAAGTAGTTTTCCAAAGGCTTCTAGAAATAAACACTTCTATTTATGCGGATATGCCACATAAGTTGAAAAGAAAGTCCGATTAAGTAAGTTTTAGCTAGTCTGTGAGGATTCCACATATTAATACTTAAAAATATATGATTTTACCTCCAGATTAGTCAACGTCATTTCTCGAAAAACATAAGCAGGATTTCCTTCTTCTGAATGGCAAGTAATCTGGAAATTCCCGTATGATGAGCTTCCTGATGGCTCTGGCCAGTACTGATGGCATTTAACCTAAGGTCAACACATTTTTAAAGATGCTTATGTTTAAATTCACATTTGTAAATGTGTATTTGTAAAAGTACTCATTGTAAATTAGTATTATTTTCATTCTCTCTAGTTCCTAATATCTTTGGTCATTAAAGGTTATTTTGATCATTTTGTAATCACTATTAATTTACTTACCAAATAGACTTTATTACCTAAATATTGCTTATAAAATAAGGTATTGCAGAGATTTCCTGGTTCTCTTTTCAAGAGGACACATGCACCAGCTCTTCAAGTTAGTTTAACTAAAGATGGATATCTTTAACTTTCATTATAATTGTTCAAAAAAATAAAGCATATCTACAAATATTCCATCTTAACACTTGAGTGACAAAGATGCTGCTTCATAAACATTTTTGACCTCCAAAATGCTAATTAATCTTCTCAAAGCACATTTATATGAGAAAACAAATGAAAAAAAAAAGCAATAAGCAACAAAAAAGTTGCTAAACTAATGCAGAAATTAGGGAGATGCAAATGGTGGACTTCAAAGACTCTTGATCAAGTCATCGAATGCGAATGAAAACTTCAAACACTAAGATTTTCAGATATGTTGCTTAAAAGCCCAATGACAGAGGTCATTTCAGCTCAAGTGTACTTTTGCTTTTCCAACCCACCTGGCGATTCTTTAAGAGCAGCCAGATTTGCAGACTTCCTGCTCCACTGAGACATCCCGGCATGCAGTGGGATAGTGATGTCAGTAGCCTCATGATCAGCTTTAGAGCAGGGAGTCTGCCTATGGGTATAAGACAGATAAGTCCTTTTATTTCATTATTAAGCAGCTCTCCAAAGAACTCCACAAATATCATTATTGAAGGGGTGGGGGAACCTCAGAGAACTGCTACTGCAAGTCTGTTCTTAGCAGATCTGCAAATAAAACTCAAATTAAAAGAGCACTTGTACTGAAATTCCCTCTAATCATGTTTGTTTGGGAGCAGGCAGCATCATGCTAACATTGAGTCACTGAAAAACGGTTTAAAAACTCTGCAAGTCCCCTTCGATTATTTTAATTGTATTTAGAGGCCTGACCTCCCAGTAAATATATGGTTATTAAAAGGTTAGAATATAACAGCTGAACTGCAGCCTGAGTTGATTAGAAAACCTACAACCTACTATAAAATCCATCTTCAAAAGAAATCCTTATGTGGAGAAATTCCACATAAACTATTATTCCAAACAGTTACTTCTGTCCACACACTCGACTAGCCAGTGCCACTGTGAATGCTCCGAACTACGAACCCAATAGTCTGGACTTACACGATGTGTATGACCAGGTTCGATTATTTTGCCTGTCTCTAAAGGACAGAGCTGCATAATAAACTAAGCTATTTAGGACAAACTATAGCTTAAAGAAAACAAATCCAAACCCCTCCCCACCAAACCAACCACAAAATACACCTGAGGCCTTTTACAGCACCATACAGTTACTTTTAGTAATTTATAACTCTAATTACTTTATTACTATTTTTACACATTTTTGTATGGAAATAACTTAAAAGGACTATGATTCTTTCATATGATTAAACAAATGTTTATAATAGCCATAGAAGAACACTTTCATGAAAAATTTTAGATTTCATGCTTATCAAGGATTCTCTTAAAGACAGCCATCCCGGCATGGAATCTTAACACCACAAAGCTGTGTTAGGCTGCCTTAAAAAAAAAAAATTCTCTACATATCTAAGAGCTAATCTGCAAAAACTGGTAAAACTTCTTGGAGTTCCTTCATTTGGAGTTCAGAGAAAAAAATCCTATGAAGGTAAATTCCAGTTGCTTTTTACTTTACAATGAAGAATCAAACAAAGAAGCATAAAAATATTTTAAGAAATACATGAAGACCTTGATGTATTTCAGACCTGCACGAAATTTAAGTATTAGCTACATTAACAATATCAGAAGGTTTAAAATGTAAGAGTCATCATTGAAACAGTACTAGGAATGCACTGCCCTTATGAAAAATAAGTCACAGAATAGTTTGGGTTGGAAGGGAACTTGAAGAGTCATCTAGTCCAACCTCCCTGCAGTGAGCAGGGCCATCTTTAACTAGATCAGGTTGCTCAGAGCCCCATCCCACCTGACCTTGAATGTTTCCAGGGATGGGGAATCTACCACCTCTCTGGGCAACCTGTTCCAGTGTTTCACCACCCTCGTCGTAAAAACTTTCTTCCTTATACCTAGTCTGAATCTACCCTCTTTTAGTTTAAACCATTACCTCTGGGGATATTATACGTCATAATAATATATTCCTCTAACCTTTTAAAGACTAACCACCAACAGAGTTTTAGAAGATTATGCAAGTAGTATTTAAACAAATCTTTTACTTACTCTGCCCCGTTCAACTTGAGTCGTTAACATTACAACCATAGATGAGCCTTGTTCCCAAGTCATCTGCCAAAAATCAGGACAAGTGTTCGGTAATGGACCTTGACAAGCAATGTACTGGTTTATTATTGTGGAAGAAGGAATTTCCATCTAAAAGAAGACAAAGTCATTATTTTAATTCTTACAGCAAATGTAAGCCAAGCATCAGATGTTTACTGTTGAGTAACTAATACATTAAAAAAGCATCAACTATATTATTTCTGTTTATTGTAAGTTAGTAAATATGGATTGGCACTGATAACAATTCTTCAAAGTGTTTCACATGCAAAATTATTACAAAGATCCAAGTACACTTCGCATATTAACTGACAGTTACGTAGTTGCCATAATCAAGATTAACGCTCAAAAAAAGAAATGATAGACCAGTTAGAAAATAATTCAGGTGCAAACATTTCATGCTCTGTGGGTTTCTGACAGTAGCTTTTAATATACTGATCTTGGAATTTAATTTAATCTTTGGGTTTTGTCCCTGAAAGGGAAAGTAAGTAGATGTAATTTTTTTGTTATTGGCAATGAAAAAGAAGAAAAAAGAAAAAAAAAAAGATATAAAAGAAAGTACTGCCAGATTAAACTTTTATTGATGTTGAACACTACTGCCACATTAGTAATCAGAAAAGAATGACTTCCTCTGGTAGAGGGCTAGCTTCTCTTAGCGTTTTCTTCTTTTTCCTGGTTTTATTTATAAAAACACCTGCCACAAAGCATTAGCAAATAAGTATATCTACAGAAAATTTCAACCCATCTGACTAGAGGTTTATTCTAGTCTGAACTAGATATATGAAAATGTTGAGGTTTTTTAAAATCAACTTCTTCATTGAATAACTGCAAAATTACTTATGTCAGAAGCTTTTTTGAAAAATACTACTCACGTTTATATAATTTGCATTGATGTAATCTTCATTACTTTTTAAAATAACCCGTGTAGCATCATCTGAAAGAATTTTTAGAAAGATGTTACTTACTTACTAACCACAGTAAAATACTTTTAGAACACACTCACAAACACATACTTACAAGGCGAAATGTCTCTGTATCTATTTTTGGAAATGTTTTGAGGTAATCTGGCACAAGACATTGTCATTCCAGGCTTTTTCCTATACAATTGCTGAAAGACAAAAGCGATGGTCAGACCATAATTGATGCAAAAGACCCATTACTACATTATTTGCCCAGAGGTACTTTTTAGAACACAAACTACTGAGCAACGGCACTTTTCACAAGAAAGCACTACAAAGTCAGTTATGCTGTAGATCACTCAAAATAATCAAGAAGTCATCACAATTTGTTTAAAGACAAACTGAATGTTAAATTTCAAGCTTCCATAAGAATGCTGTTCCAGAGAAAAGTCCATATTGTATACTGGTAAGGGAACTGACAGATACTGACATTCCATAGAGTGACTTGGGACAAGCAGACTGTGTTGCATATAGGCATCTATCTACATTGCAGTTGTTTCACTTCCCTCCCCCCCCCAAGATGTCCTTCTGTATTTCAATAACTGTGAATCAAATCCTGGGCTACCTTGTGCTTTTCCTGCACAAAATCTCCTCTGAGAGGTTCCTGCCCTCTCACGCCCCAGACATGCACTGCCACAACCCTTCTGCTGAGAACAGTATCAGTGAAATGATCCAGGTTCAACAAAAAGCACTTTAAAAACTTCTAAACATCGAACCTGCTTGTGAAACTGAAAACGTATGATTAAGGAGGATTTTTAAATCACTTTTATATAAAAGAAAGAAAAGATTTTCTCAAAGTAAATTCTACCAAAGTTCTCAAAGAATAGTATATATTTTAGAAATGTATGTTGTAATACATAATGCTAGCTCTCCATTTGGCAAGGAATTCACAGAATGCACTGCTGTGTTTTACACACCTACTGCTTCCTGCTTTAAGTCACTTGATCTCATGCATTACAGATGGAATATCACCACGGCACGAGTTCGTGCTAAAGACAGACTACGGCTATCAGCAGCTTAGGACCCCACAGGAAGTGTACTGTTCTTTTGAAATATGTCAAAAAAAAAAATCAACTATTTATAAAAGACATTGTTACACTAAGCCTTAAGATTAGGGTTGGGTTTTTCATTGGTAATTTTACCTTCCCTCATTGAGATTGTCCATAAGATGTCAACAGCTCAGCTGTCATTCCGTTTCTACAGTAACTTAGATACGGAATGAAGGTCTGCGTACACAATACATATGTTGGTATACGTTTTTCAGTCTTTATCTCTATGAAAGTATTTTATTAGCATAGGTCCCTGATAACCACAAAAAACTGTAAGTAATCAATAAAGCTATTTATAATGAACAACATTAAAAATTAGCATTAGGACTATTCTATGCCATAAATTTGCACATACAATACAAGACTGGATTTATTATTTTTTTTTAATTTATTTTTCTTTTGAGTGGGTAAGGCACTTGTTTTGCTAAAAGATGCTGACTCTACTGAAATATAACTGAAATCTGCTCTGCTTAAAATAATTACTATCCCAAAAGACCTTGAACACGCACACAGCTACAGGCAACATGGTACTCACATCGAACTGAGCCAAAACAGTTCCAGTGATAAGCCCCTCGGCTAGCTGAATCATGGATTCCCTCAGAGCATTATCATCTTGATGGACACCATCAAGTGGAGATTTCTCAGGGATGTACTGGAAGTCAGGCTCGCTCTCCAGCTTCTCTTCCACAACATCATAGACAGCTAAAAAATAAAGGTATGAATGCTCTGACTGAACATGCTGTTTGGCAAGTAAAGTTAACTCTAAGTAATTTATTTAAAGCAGCAAAAAAGACAAACGTTTCTCCTGTAGAAAAATCCACATTTATTAACACTGATTCGAGTCCCCATCAGCAAGCGCAAGTAGCCTTTACTGATCACTATAATCCATGACAAAACTATTTCTTTTGTTTAACTGTAATTTTACGTGAAAACACATCCCTGCTAAAATTGTGATCAAAACTCATGTTATACCCTACTTTGTCCAATGTAATCTCAGATTCTCATATCATGCCTCTGCAGTCATTACAGTTGCATTTACATTTTTACTTTTAATTCACTTTGAACTGATATTAAGCTTCAGTAATTAGGGCAAGATGCACAGACCACTTGAGAAAATGGCATTGATATATGTCATTATAATGTTACCAATGCTGCACAAGTGCTCTGCCTATAAACCAACTGAAAATTAATATGCATCTTCTACTACACGTAACAGAGACATACGCTGTTCGAAAGCCTGTTTTTAAATGACATCCCATGACCATGGAGGAGGAAACTGGCAACTCCTCACTTCTACAACTCAAATGTTTTCATCCAGAATACAAAGATAATCAACACACAAGAGGAAACTGTTTTAGTAAATTTGTAAACAAAGCTAACAATTTTATCTGAAAAAGAAAGTAAGCACACAAAAGCTGCAAGAGAACTTACACACAGAATGAGAGCACAACTAAGTGGGGAGTGCAAACAAGTGAATAAAGAAAAAAAATTGTTTATTGAGGTGGCTGAGGTCCTCTCCTAAAGTAATTTCAATTATTCCGATTAAACATCATTATTTTTCATTTTGCTTTTTCCTCTGCAACTGTACTATAACTGGGATGTGCAGCAGAATTAAATCCAGTGACCATCTGCTGGCAATGCTCCAATAGTGCATTTCACAAATATATTGCACAAGCTGTTATTCAGACTGCATTTATAGCACTTTCCGCTATTAAGCCTCCTCAGGTAGAAATATTACCAGTTGTTCTGGATTGTTTTAAAAACATATGGAAGGATTTTGCATATATGGACCTCCAAAGTCATCCAAACACTGGGTATTTGGTGAGAGTTTTTTTGTTTGTGTTTGGTTTTTATTTTCCTTAAGGGAATAACAGCAATCTCAGAAGCTGCATTCAATATACATATAGCTTTCTGGACATTTTTATCAATAAGAGTGAGAATAAAATTTAAATTAGCTCTCTGTTAAAAATATTTGATCTGTGACTTTCCTATTAATTTTCAACACTAAGTTATGCACAGGTCCTTAGAGTATGGGATTGATCAAGATTTGTGCAATACATTGTGTTGTTGCAATTCCTTTTCAAGCAAGGGAGTTCGTTCTTACAAAGATGTTAAGCATTCCATCTAAGGAGACAAAACGGAGGTTGGAAGACGAAAGCAAGGCATGGATTTATTTTTTTAATTACTATTATGTACAAATCACTCACCATTGGGTCGAACTAGGAGCACAAGTTCCCCTGAGTGTCTCTCACAGCTAGCTTTAATAAACATAACAACTTGATCATGGGTATGTTCTGCTATATCCCTGCCGTTAATCAGTACAACCTGGTCCCCTTCATTCAGACGAGGGACACAGAGATCAGCCTGCAAAGTTGGGGAAAAGAAAATAATTTAAAAAAATATATAAAATCTGTAAACCAAGTCATTTCCAATTTCTCGCCTTAAAATAGTGACTTAAAATAACGAACCTTGGAGACTTGAATCCTAACAGCCTAGTTGCTATGGTGGCTGCATTGTATTCAAATGATAAATTTAAGCATCACACAATACATAAGACAGTGCCATTAACATGAACCAATCAATTTGCAACTGGGAGGTGACTGTCACTGGAACATGTCTTTCCGCAGCTGTTACTCCACTCCTATGGTTGAAGTAGAAAGCTCCTTTCTTTGAATTACATTTTGTATGGGCAATTAAAAAGCAGGATGTTCTTATCTTTGAAGGGAAGGAAGCAACATGGCAAAGCCTTGTCCAAATCAATTTCACAGGCTTAAAAGTTTCAGGTGCGAAATATCGGAACTGCAGTGACAAGAGTAAGACAAGGACCAAAGACAATGCACAAATCCCAGTAGTCCCAGAAAGAGAAATCAGGTAATAGAAATCATTATTATAACCATAGTCTAAACATCGTTGCAGAAGAGAAAGCACATGCCATCTCCAAATATCTTCTCCTTAGACAGTGGATGTTTAAAGCATTCAGCCAAAATTCATGTTATTAAATCTTTCAGGATAATACTTGATATGGGCAAGAACAATGCTCTTGGCAAACATTTTAATAGTTTCAAATTGTCAAAACAAACAAACAAAAAGCTGTACTACTTAAATGTCAGCAAATAAAGAGTTCACTCTACTCTAAAAGGTATAAAAACAGAGCTGACTCCAGTCAGCTGAACACCAGGTCAGTATTTTTGTCAATCGACTGACAAAATATTGTGCCTAGTCTGAAGACACTATTGATAGTCACTAAACACCAGTAACAACAGACAATCAGACCTGATGAATGATTCATGATGTCTGATTTTAATCTAAATCTTGGCTTTAGTCAGCTACATCTGTCACTAAAATGAGATTTGCTATTTCAGTTATTTTTAACACACTAAAAGACTCTTCCAATACATAATTTATGTGAAATTATATGAATGCCTGTATTTAAAAAAAGTAATAAAGTAAATGTGTTTTTAGGATTACACAGCTTAAGAAATAGTGCATACTGAACATCTGTAACTCCCTGTAATCTTCAGGAAGTGAATTTTCTTTCAGTAAGAAAAAAATATTTTTAAGGGTTGAAGAACTTTTAATAATATGTTATGCGGCCCCATCAAATTCTTACTGCACATAATTTGCTTTGTTAGGATAATGTTATAGCACAAACTGTTTTCATAGGCAACTACAAAATAATTTGCTGTTTTGAATACATACTTCAAGATATACAGATATTGCTACCAAGTTTGGTTTTTTGATAACTTACAGGTGTTCCTGGAGCTACCCTGGACACTATTACCGGCATCTTCTGATCATATCCACCCTTTAAAAACAAATTAAATTAGTAATAAGTCACAAATGTCAGAAAATAATCTTAACAGACATGAAGGCAATAGATGTACTGTTACCTTTACATTGAAGCCAAACCTTCCATTTTCATCTGGTTTCATTCTGATCATAACGAGATTGTCATGGGGGACACCACCATTGGGCTAGCAAACAAAAAATATATTATATTAATATATATTTTGTTCATAGTTGGACTTTGAGGATATTGTAGGTGGTAATTTTGCAGTTTCCTCACCCAGTAATTGCTTCTGGACACTTGAGAAAGCATCAAGTAACAGTACAAATGTCTTATCTTGAGTTTTGCATAGATGGGAAAAGTTACACATTTAAAAGACATAACTAAGTTAAAAGTGTGTTCTGTCAAAGTAAGCTCAAAGTAAGAAACAGTATTAGAAAAGACTAATTGGCTTCAAGTAGACTTAGGAAAAACAGTTTACTAAATGGGAACTCCTTAAATTCATTCTAATTAAGACCACAGTGAAAAACCTGCTCTAAGAATGTAATATGAAGAAAAATAAGGTAAATTGAAGGTACGCTTTTGTTTCGATTAACAGCAATATGACAGTAGTAAGGAAGGACAAGTTTGGCAACAAAATCTTGGTTCCATGTCCCCTATTCCATTTCCAATGTAGTGGACGATGAGGTGTGACACATGCTCTGCACTGATCAAGCTCTGGCAATTTTAGCTGCTTGCTTTCTGGTTTCATTCTGATCACAACACCACGTTAAAGGAACTACTGATAAATTGGGGAGTACTAGAAACTTTTTTAATCAGGAAAAATCAACTTAGTGCCATTGAGGTGATTTTTAGTTTGTTCCCATCAATATTTATTTCACAGACTCAACATTAGGTAGTATTTTTATAGTTTCTATAGTGAGGATGTGAAGTGCTATTAAAGAAATTTGTTTCAAGGAAGTTTTCAATGTTACCAATTACAGGCAAAACATAAAACTCATATTCAGAGATGAAGAAAACGAAAAACCAAGAGCAAACATTTCTATATGTAAGAAAGTTCAAAAACTTGCAAATTCAAAAACTTTCAAGTTCAAAAACTTGCAAATAGGTAAAAGAAGTCTGCTCAACTTGGCTCATAAAAAGTTAACTCAATTCCAGGTGTTTTAAGCTCTTGGTTAAAACAAAAAGTCCCTGTAAACACATTCATAGTAATGAAAAGATAAAAAATTTGAGGAAGGAGGTAAAAGTCACAACATAAGAGATGTTAATGAGAAGGAAGGGTGCTTAGGACGCCTGATGACATGCCACAATCATTTTAGCTTATGTTCACTGACATGGGAGACCAGACTCACGTTCAAGTGCTCACTTACAGCATTTTGGTAACTTTTGTGCCACTGCGCTCCCCAGACAAGGAAGGAATAATAATTTCCTGCATTAACAGGCTATTTTGAGCAGCAGTTTATAATGAAAAACCTGAAGAGAGCACTGTGTATCATCATTAACCTGTTTGATGGAAGGGACTCCTGGTCACACCTGTTTTCAAATACTTCTGGACATTCTCAGACTGGATACTTAGGGACTGCAGATGGAATAAAAAGTTGTCATTCCCATATGTGACCTACTCCCTTTCTAAATAGGCTCTCTATACATACAACAGACAACGGAAATTTAATAGCTAAATGAAGTCAAAATGGTGAGAGGTTTTCCTTATAATATTTGAGATAGAGCAGCAGAAGAGACTTCAGTGGTGCAGGAATCTGAAGTGCATTCTGGTCAGAAAAGCAACTTTGGAAAAAAAAAAAACAGATTCCAAACCCTAAATTTATTATTTCACAAAATTTCAGAGTCGTGCTGCGTTCCTTCTCTAATACCCAAATTAAAAAGCCATCAGCAGACCAAATTAGATCTTCAATTACAATAGTGTACTGCCTTAAGTGAGGCCCAAATGTGGCCCATTGGACCACAGCAAACAATCACACTGACAATGCACAGGTAAAAAAGAAACTCATTCTCAGAAGCTGTGTTGGTTTTACAGAACTAAAAGGAGTTAAAAAAACAACTGAAAGTTACTTTTGTCCATTTAGTAAAGATAACAATACAGAGCAGAAAAACTTGAGAAGTAGTATTATCTTTCAAAACAGAACATTACCGTAATATGACTCGGGTAAGCACTGACAGAAGAAAAAGCTGTTAAAAATTCTGTTTCATTATTTAATTAAGGCAGAATTTTTTACAACATTCCCAAAATGCTCATAAATTTACAAGTTTCACTTTTGCATGTTTTATTAAAACTCCAGCTATGAAATTAAACATGGGGTTTATGGGAATCTGAACTCTGTAACAAGGCCTGAGAGAACACCCTAGGCTTAGAGTTCAGAACGCAAATAAAAATAAACCAAAGGCATTTCTCAAATATCAATTTTGGGAGCTGACTCATACTTTTCAATGATTGAGGTTGGCAAAACTGTTTACACAGTATTTGCTACAGCTGCATGTTAAACAGTTATCCCATCCTGCAAAACGTTTCTTGTCCCACATCAGTATAAAACCAAAAACCATACGAAAACTTCTGGAAGGCCAAAAATCACAAAAACGGTCAGTGAGATCTCACCTCAGTCAGACAATAATCAACTGACTAGCTTACTCATCCAGCATGTGCTTAAGCGTGGAAAAAGAACTTATGCTCAGATTTTTACATTTCTTGTCACAGGTCTCTTGGTAGACTCTCTTTCTTGGAAATTCTGAAGAGAAAGAAATGCAGCCACAGATTCAAGAAGCCTTTCCTGACAAAACTGCTCTAGAAGCTGGTAGGCATTTTTTGTTTAATTTTTTTGATAAAAGCTGGATTAAACACCAGTGGTAGTGTCTGCAATGCCTTCTTTAAAATTGATGGTAAATGACTCCTCAAATAAGAGGTTAGTTAGAAATTTCTGCATGTGCTGAAAAGCTCATGTTCAAAACATTCCCCTATCCATCCCAACGCAGTCATTTGATCACAGCTGACAAAGAACTGCTCTAGCAGATGCTAAAAATAGCAGGAGCTAGCAGAGACATGGAAACGCAGCAACGTAATGCACAAACACAACAACTCTCTGAAATGCATCAGAACCAAGCTCATGAAAAGTAGGACCATCATTCTGATAAAAAGCAGAATGGTTAAACTGGACCCAAAAACTCACTGTGGATTTTTCAGGTGATGCAGGAACATCAAACGTTTCATTAATATGGTTATCCAGTTCTTGCTGCGAGTGTGAATGATGAATTTGGTTCCAACTGTTCTTTTTAAATTGTTTGGGTGGTAACGCAGGAGGCTGCCCATCTATAGGAGTCTCTTGAGATCTAAATACCAAAATAGAAGTATGAAGTGGAATGATCATGAGATATTGACAGTTCTTTCAGGGCTCCAAGCAAACTGAAAATGCTAGAAGAAACTCAAGAGTTTGAGAGCTGAACATCTCTATGTATTTTTAGCATCTCAAAAACGTACTGTTGGTGGAATATACTGAAAGTGTATGGTTGGACATATTACTGCTTTCTTCTTGACAACCAACTGTACACAGGAACAGCAAGTTCATCTTTTGCACGACTCTTTTTTTAAATGGTTTCAACATTCTTAATCTACTTTACATTGGAATATTATAAAATTTGCTGTGTTTATACTCTTCACTCTTTCTTAAAAAGAAATTATTTCTAAAATAGGTATGTCACTAATGTTCTGCTCAGTAAGAAAATCAATTAGTTTGCATCTTTAATGTCTGTAATTTAAATCTTAAAAATAGACACAAGCAGCATAATAAAGTGCTCCCACACTAGTTTTTGGCTTTTGATCTACAAAAGGAGGAGTGCAAGCTGAAAACAACTCAACTGTCCCCCTGCATTTACTTGAAAAGCCCATTGGAGATGAGTGTTAAATTTTAATTTTTTAATTTAAAACTCTGTGTATACATTTCAAGAGAACTTTGGTTTTTTTCCCTTCTCTTGAACACATCCCCCTTTGAAACATCTGTAAAAATGGCACTCATCACATGCATTTTTTAGTTGTGTTTTAACACCATTACTGAAGATGAAATAGCAGAAAGTTCTATTTCTGGTTTAGATTTGCATGTACTCTACTGTAGGTTAATAAAAATGTTCTCTGTGTTTATGTATAATATGGATAATTTCCTTTATTAGTCCTTTTGGAATAAAAGCTTAACTGTATAATTTGTATTACATAAATATATGATTCACCTTTCATTATATGGCTTTACATTTACGAATTAAGAAGAACATTGAGAGGCCTAAAAGGGCAGTTAGCACGTAGTTCCCATTAACTCGGTTTGAATGCCAGTTTCTAAATACCAGTGAGGATACATGCCTTCCTCCTCACCAACCACATTAAAAGGTGCTATTAAGTAATTTAACGACTTATGACAACAGCCCACTGATACTAGTGGCAAATGCAAAAACCACCAAGAATGAAGTTACAGGTTACAGCTAAATCTAAAGAGAACGCTACCACCACCAATGGATGCCTCCGTTCTTTCTTCCACCTGCACCCACGGCCCCTTCCCTGAAGTGCTCTGGTGCTCCTCCCTTGGCTAAGGCGACTCACCAAGCACGCCAAAATACATTGACTTTTTGGGCAAGCCTGGGTAGCTCTCTGCTGGTTCAACAAGGTGAACCCCTTCATCACAGGGTCGGCCGTAGCACGGGGAGGTAAGCACACTCCCAGAAGCCAGAAACAGGACACTGCCCCTTTCGTTACCAGTAAGCTGCAGCAGTAACTCATAGCATAACATCCCTCTGAAAAGCACGGGTAACCATGTGAGGACCACTGTCCTACTGTATTTAACTGGTCTAGCCACAGTAAACTGTTAGGAGGGTAAGACTCTCATTATAAGACAGCACAGCATTTCAAGTGGCTGCAAGTTAGAAAACCTAAGGCACACATCAAATTCCGTGCCATATAATTTGCTTCTACACAATTAAAGAAAGGCAGATCGCAGATACGTGTTTTCAAATAAAAACAAAAAAAATCAGATCGCAATTGTCTACAGTGATTTCAAACAAAGGATGAAGCTCTTTCAAAAAGCATGAAAATTGCATGGGAAATGGAACACCTCATTTTGAAAAGCCACTCGTTTTTCATTTCAATTTTAAAAAATTTAGATCATTTTCTTAGGAAAAAAAAATGATAATTTTTTTTGTCAAGTGTATGAAAACAGTACACTTGAAATGATCCTAATAGTATTTTTTCTGTATGTTTTTGCTTAATTTCGACCTTCAGAAAATAATTATTTTTCATGCAGTGTTAAAAGAAAAAAGTACTCATTATTCAGTATCTGATGTCTGAGGAACCTCACGTTCAAAACACACTGGTGAATAAAAATAATATTTCTTAACACTTTTCAATATACGCAGCCGTAAAAAAAGAGCATATCAATAGTATATTTTATTTTTCAGGATAAGCAGCTTTTCTAAACTCATTTTTGTGGAGAAAGGAAAATATGATGATTGTGAACATTTGCAAAACCAATTTAAGGGAGCTATAAATTATGTGGACATTGACTTACAAAGGTCAGTCAGAGCTTTTTAACCGCCTATATATTCATTGAAGTCTGGCCAGCACAGATTATTCAGTCTTTTAAGTGAAGGGCAATATAGTTATGTATTTTCCTGCAAACAATTACTCCTGAGAGTTTTAAACGGAATAAAAAAGGAACAGAAAACAAGTAGACACACAAAAGAAGTCATTCCAGCAAGGAAAAGATGGGATCTTATGTTTGACTAGATGTCTGTACATACATGACAACAAACACAAATAAATTC